TTGCAGTACTCTGTTGTGTTGCAGTACTCTGTAGTTTTGCAGTACTCTGTGTTGCAGTACTCTGTAGTTTTTCCAGCTGCAGCCTGCAGAGCGTCAGGACCGTTGAGAGGTGCGCATGCGCGGGTTGGGGAAGCGGAAGTGAGCATCATGTCGGTGGAGGACCCGTTTTTCGTCGTGAAGGGGTGAGACATGAACTAATTCAGACTCACACTCAACGTTAACTCGAGTTCATTCAATCCGCTTCACGTTCAGAGCTGATCCTCTAACAGCGAGTCCGTGTTTCCCTCCGAAGACACAGTCACACCAGTGGAGTTAGCTCAACGGCTAGCTGCAGCTAACTAGCCTCGGCGCTAGCAGCAGCAGCAGCTGCTCAGAGTTAGTTTGAGAACAACAACAACAACAACAACAGACTCGAGTCACGTGGGATTAGATTTAGTTTGAATCTGTAACTTCAGCTGGAAAGAGACGAGCAGCTCCGGAGAATCTGCGGCCAGACAGTTGGCAAGGAGCGGCTAGCTGAGAGCAGCAGCCCCCGCTGTTTGTTTTGGTTCAGGGAGGAATGTGGAGCCGAGACTGGAAAACAACACATGACAGTGACTTTCTAACGTGTGTGTGTGTGTGTGTGTGTGTGTGTGTGTGTGTGTGTGTGTGTGTGTGTGTGTGTGTGTAGGGAGGTGCAGAAGGCCCTCTCTCGAGCTCGTGGCCTCTATGACAGGTGGGAGGAACTGTTGCAGGACGGGACCCAGGTGAGCTGAAGCTGGGACACCTCAGGACGAGTCTCAGTCAAACACAGAGCAGGACACTTACAGGGATCGTTCACTGGAAAATGAAACTCTCAGGGGATAACTGTGTAGAATCCAATACACTTGAGGTAACTGGTGACAGCACCATGCTGCTCCTGTGGTGTCATCCAAGTGTCCGCAAGCCCCGGAATTCAAATTCCACTTGAACCGACATCATTTAGTCTAAATGTCCTCAGATCACTGTTCACGTTGGCACACACGCTTCAAACACGGTGTAAATGACACAGATTCAAGTCCATGAATGTCGGGGGCTTGATGACACCACAGGAGCAAGACGGAGGCATGTTGTGTTTTTCTGTTTTACGTCACTAGTTACTTGAATTGTATTGGATTCTGCTGCAACACTGTTTCCCTCTGAAACTCCAGAAGTGTTTTGTGGACTCAAACACTTCACCCACCCACAGTGGTGAGTAGATAAGGAGTGAAGCTTCATTTTCCAGTGAACTATCCCTTTAATAGTTCAACAGGAGTGAGGAAAAACTCCTAAAGAAACAGGAAAATAAAAAGGACGGACAGAAGAGCCATAGATATCGTCAGCTGTTTACATTTATGAAGATAGGCAGTGTCTAACAGAGAGAGGTGCACCAATGTAAAAAAAAGTATTTGCACAAAAAGAAAAAGTCTGACAGACGAAGGGAGCCACAACTCTTATTTTCTACATCAAATTGTAGAAGTGTATTTATGTACATGTTAGAAGTCTGACTGAAATAGAAAAAAAGAATATTTATAGTTTATGTTGGTGTATAGTTAGTGATGTTTTTTCTCAGGTCAGTCGGGATGAGCTGGACTGGAGCACCAATGAACTGAGGAACTGTCTGAGGGCCATCGACTGGGACCTGGAGGACCTCAGTGAAACCATCAGTATCCTTAAAGCACCCTCACCCCCCATAACCCCCGTCTTCACATGACCCTCTGTGTTTTAAAAACAAACAGAAGCTTTGTGTCTCCCTCACCCTCCTTCATTTACTTTCCGACTTCTTTAGAAGACGTTTTAATCTCGTAAAGTTAAAACCATTTTACTAACATGGTTATTAAGCAGAGACTAGAATTATGAAAAGACTCTTTCAGTTGTCAGGAAAATGTCCGGAAAACGAGGAGCGACCACAACCTGGCTCCATTTTACCGCTCAACATCTGATAGGGCTGTGACCCCCCCCCCCCCCCAGCAGTCAGTTAAATGCTTTTAAATTCTACACAGTTAAGTTTTAAACCCAATTATCTTTCTTCCTTTTTTTTAAAGGCTCCACAGTTTTTAGGGTTATCAGACGCGTCGCTTTTGTCCGTTTGCTCCTTCACTCACTCAGGTATCGTGGAGTCGAATCCAGGGAAGTTCAAACTCGGAGATAATGAACTTCAGGAGAGGAGAGACTTTGTGGAGCGAACCAGGAAATCTGTCCAGGTAAATTACACATTTCTACCGTGCTGGTTTTTCCAAATTTAAATCCTCTAGTCTCTGATCTGATTGTTCTTTTGCGTGAGTGTAGATCGTGGAGAAATATTTTACTGATGTTGTCCATGTTGGAAGAAACCAACATCTGTTATGAGCAAAACAAATGATTATGGTCCAGTCATACTTCACTGTATACATGAGTAGTTGGGTGTGTCTGGTTATTTTGGATTTATTTAAGACTGTGTGTTCTCCTTCGTCTGGTGTTGCCAGTGGTTACAGGTAAACCAGCTGGAAGAGAGACGACCTCACATTCAGATCAGTCTCTGCCAACAGTGAAGCATGCCGTCCTCTATGTGTTTCCACTTTTTGTTTCTGTTGTGAGGAGACAGACAGTCGATCTCCATCAGCACCTGTCGGTTTGTTTACCTGCACCGCAGCTGTGAAAGCTCCCGAACTGATTCACTGTCTGTGCCGAAGGCACAACGGGAAACATGAGTCAGCTGCTCACACGAGTCGTACGAGTAAAGATCCCGTCCTTAAAATAGACCCGAGAAGAGAAGAGAGGAGTTGTCTGAGCAAAACAAGAGATTCACTGAGGAGGAACAAAAGACTCTTGACGTTTTCATTCTCAGGCCGGAGATTCTGACACTGCAGCAGAAAATGTGATAAATGAAGCGGTCTGCCCGGAGCGCAGGTTTTAAACTGGTGCTCGTCCTCCATGTTTGTGTCACATTGTGGAGATAAAGGTGCAAATCATTTTCTTTTGTGTGTTTGTAGGAAATGAAGGATGAGTTGTCCAGCCCTTCTGCCGTGGCTCAGGCAGAGAAGAAGAACCGACAGGTTGGTGAACGCAGAGAGAGAGAGAGAGAGAGAATACATACACACACACAGAAGCAAGTTGCTTTTGTTGACACCATCAACAAGTAACTATGGTTCCCAGTTTGCTTGATTGATCACGTCATGCATTTCGATAATTGACCAAAGCACAGACACTTTGTACGGAATGAGTCAGCCATGTGTTCAAACTTATCTTTCACTCTGCAGCTGATGTGTTGTCAGGTCGCTCACACTCTCAAAACAAATCCCTGCAGCATCTTGTGGTTTGGAAAGTGCCAAAAGCTTCAGCAGCACAAATCCAACAAACTTTCAAACACACAGACCTGTGATGCTTCAGCTCGCCTCATTTCACAACCAAACACACACACTCATTTCCTGGTAACTCCATGTGCATGTGTTTGTGTGTGTGTGTGTGTGTGTGTGTGTGTGTGTGTGTGTTTACCCAGGCTCTACTGGCTTCGTCAGGCCAGGACAAGTCAACCGGGCTGGAGGCTCATCTGGTGTCCGCGAACTCCAGATACATCCAGGAGCAACAGGAACAACAGCAGGTGAATAAATGATTAAAGTGAAGGAAAGAGAACCTGGACAGAAAGAAGTGTGGTAGAGGAAGAGAGGGAGTTTTGTTAGAGAAGGAAAAAATAAAGAAGAGAAAGATGAAGGATTTGATAAAGAAAAAGAGGAAAATGGGAAAAAGAGAGATCTCGTTTGTGGGTTTTATTTATTTTACTTTTCCAAATTTAAAATGACGTTTTCGTCGAAACATTCAGCAGCAAGTGTTTCGTAAAATCTGTCTTCACTGTTCAATGTGCTGCTGTGAGTGACACTTCATAAAAAATCCCACATGAGAACATCGTAACAGTCGGAGCGAAGCTTGACGGTGTAATGTTTGTTTTTATGAGGTCATGTTAACAGATGGGGGGGGGGTTTCAATCATGGTCGTCCTTTTGTAAAGATGTCGAAGATCTCTGTCTGCTCCACTGAGTTCTCACGCTGTGATGAAGGCCCTGACGATTAAACGCAGTTGTAAGGTTTATCAGGTTGTGAGATGGCGGTTTGTGTTTCCTGCGGTGACTAATAATGAAAGTGTGTCGTCACGCATCCGGTGTCAGGTTGTGGTTTTAATGGGAAATGAATCAAAGATAAATCATTTGCCTCTTTTGAAGAGGTGAGTTCTGATCTGATGAGTGGTGTGTGTCTGCCTGTGTGTGTGTGTTTTTGTGTATCTATCTGTGTGTGTGTGTGTAGCTCATCGTGCAGGAGCAGGATGATCAGTTGGAGTTGGTGTCGGGCAGCATCAGAGTCCTCAAGGACATGTCAGGACGTATTGGAGACGAGCTCGATGAACAAGCAGTGTGAGTGTACACTCACACACACACACACACACACAAAAACACAAACACACACTCTTCAGAAAACTCTCAGGTTTGAGGTTTTTTTTAATTTTTTTATTGTCTTTATGGGTAAAAAGTTTTTAAAAACACTGAACTGTTCCTCTTTTAGCTGTTAATTTATTTTGGAAGTTTACTATAAATGTTTCCTGTAACTTTCCACCGGACTTGTTTAGTCAACA